TAAGTGGAATGAGAGTGCTTCCAGTGGTAGAATGGTAGAGATTAATGACTTAATATTTTCAACTAATGTCGTGCGGGTATTTTCGTGAACTTGTTCTCGACTGGACTGAGTATGCTGCGTTTTAAAACTACCCTAATCAGCTGTAGCTGAAGTGCGTGAGAAAATTCTTCAGAATTCTTTATTCTCCCGTCTTTTTTACAAGGCGTACGGCATCCTCCGATTTTTCAATTTCCCACATTCATAAGGTCTCGGGTGTGTGACTATCATATTAATTCTACTGATCGTGGGCGATAGTGAAACGAGGAGAAGAGCTTAGGGCCCTGAGTAGTTCAGATCTTGAGCCGGTCAAGTTCAGCTTGCCTTGCCGTCTCAGGGAAAACATTTGACTTCGTGCTGGTGGGGGTGGGATGGTGGGCGAAGAAGAATGAACGAAGAGTTTGTTTGCCTTTCTTGCCAGCGGATTGTCCCATGAAAGGAACGACAGCTTCCATCTACCACTCACAGTTGGTGTCCCACTTGGGTAAGTGTGGTGTCCCACTGGGATCACTGGCTCCCTGGGGGTGGATGCTTTTCCCATATCCAGTCCCACTCAGTTCCAATCCTTCCTACACCGATGCAGTCCAGTCATCTTTGAGTATATGAGCAGAGGCTGTACATACATCCATTCCCTCCCTGTTTCTATCTTGCGAATTAATAAACGAAAACTCACAAGTTGCAAGGTCAGGCAAACAAGCGGTATACAGTATCCTCGAAAATTGCGCCCGGAATTAAATGTGTCGTCTCCGTGGGCAAATGGGCATAAGGAGCTCTAGGGTGATGACAAGGAGCGGGAACGACACTAGTACCCTTATCCACCTGGCCAGATGTTGCCTAGACAGGGACGCGTGGTTCTGAGCTCTGTTTTACGCGCAGGTTGTCCTATGCACTCAAATTTACGCGTAGTCGGCTACTCTATACAGCCTGTTTTCCTGAAAGTGTGTTTTTTTATTTTTTAGCGATTCTTTACAGTCTGATGACTGGAAAGGTACTGGTGCGGTGAAGCTTCACTTGAGAAGTATGCGCCTTATAGAGGACTTCAATATGGAATAATTACCCCATGTAAATTCCATCTTCTGGTGTGGATTGAGCGATACAGCGAGATACTGCTGCATTTGTTCCCAAATAGGCAAGGCGTGTGTTTTTCTCCGCAATAATTGTGTTAAGAATGACAGCGCTTTCCCGTCTAAACACCCTCGTCGAAGTCTGGATGGCCTGGGGGCAAAACGAAAGGAAACGCTCAATCTTTGTCCATTCTTCCGTCGCAGCAATACCTCTTGATATCGTTCCAGAGTCATAAGGACTGAAAGAAAGTGCATGATGCGGCAAGGGATGGATGACGAACGGCAGTTGCCTAATGAATGCCACTCGTTCGGACGGATTTGTTACTCATAATAAAATTTACAAAAAGTGCTTTTGCCTGAGAATCGATTGCAGTGAAACTATGAGAGTTTCGTGGGGCATCCTTGTGCTTTCAAGTACTTGAGGAGCAAAAGTTATATTGTAGAGCTTCTCAACTCCACAAAGGATGTTATTGAGTTTCAGTAGAATTTCTTCTCTTTATTTTTCTCCAGACGACAGCGGTGAGAGTTTTTTGTAAACTCTGGAAAAAATATTAGAAGGAGTTATTTACTGTTCTTTTTTGGGTCACTAAATCGTGTAAAACAACTAGAGTATAGCATCGTGATGTGTGGAAATGGTGGTGCCAGTACAAAAACCGTCCAAACTAAAAGGTTTCAGTAGGACCTTCCCCCCTCTTTCCCAACACCTACCTACCAGGTTCCCACAGTTTCCAGTTTTTCACCCAGTGGTTTTCCGTCGAGCGCGGAGGGGGAGTCAAGAGTCAACAACCTGAAAAATCTTTTTCCCAACGCGGCAAATTTCTCTCAAAGCCACATACGACCCCCCTTTCCCAACAACGACCAAATACGACCCCTCTCCCCAGCTGAGAAGTACGACCCCCCCCCCCCCCCCTGTGTGTTTCACAAAAGCATGCTGTACCCTTGAGAACAGCTATCCTGTTTTTCGCGGTAGCAATTGTTGTTCTGGCACGCTTTGCAATCGCTGTTGCACAAGGGAAGAAAGTAGTGCGCATTCATAAATCGGCAATGACTTGGGGCTATTAACTATCAGGTAATAACCTAGTCACAATTTGTTACGTAATGCTTTGCAGGTGTAGCGAAAAACTTCGGAAGATAAAGCTTTTAGAGTTGAGCGATCTCTCACAAGATGCGCCACACATTCCAACCTCCTTTCAGGGAAAGTGGTGAAGGTTTGATGCGCCTGTGCTTGCCACGATGAATCGCAGGGCTTTAATCAGATGTTCACAAATAGAGTCGGTTCCAGTTACCCCATGTGCAACATCCCGGGACCCCTTCCCAGGACACTTTTCGCGATTGCAGGGAATGTACCAGTTTTGAGACTGAAATTGCTTGATAAGGACGCTTGGGTACTGTCCTGACAAGACCTCGCGGCCCCAAGAACTACATTGCCTTCATCATTTCACTTTACAATGGCGGACCACATATTCCTATAGCTTGGCTTTTGTTAATGGCATTTTCGATTGTTTTCTCTTTTCGTTCTTCACTGCTGGATTAATTTTTTTGACATTCGTTTTTGACTTCCACCGATCACGAACAGCAGTATGTTCCTCCTGCCTTTGCATTTAAACCCATTGAAAAAAGGGCTGAAAGTTCGTCGAAACGTAAACATACCGTATGACCTCTAGTGATTACGTCAACGACATCTAAACTAACGTCAAGAAGAGAGAAACTAACAAAGAGGAAAGTGCGTGTAATGCTTTGTTCGACTGAGGAACTTGTTAGTTTCTGTTGACGCAAACCTATTCTTGGAATAGGCTTTGTTATGAACGTTGGAAGGCGAGTTCACCTATAAATACTGGTGGCACTTTGTCTACTTTCAAAGGCATTGCCCGATAATTTGGCAACTCGGCCCTAAAAATGCTAGAAGGGTCGCTGATTAGTGGGGAAAAGTGGCGAAGGAATGAGTGATACTGGTCAAATCCCTGCAATCAAAGCTCCCGTTCTCAAGTGTGTTAGAAACTGAATTTTTGGACGACTTTCTTGTGCATCTTGCCAACTAACCGATACCAAGGATACGTCCGCATGTGCGTACTCATACATCCATACAACACCGCGGCCGCTTCATACCAATCCCTTCGTTTCATAATTTGCTTAGCAAATGAATCAATACGAGCGTCAGGAACGGTCGTCCATTTGTGGGCGGGCGAGCGTGGTGGGCGTTCGGGTCGGTATGTTGTAGCTTGATAGGGCCCTTATAAGGGTACCTTTCTTGGAAAAGGCGCTACGCAGCGCCTGCTCAGGGTCGCGGAATTCCGTCCTGCCAGGCGTATTAATCCTACTCGTCTTCAGGGATTTATCGTGCCAACTGCGTTTAAAGACGTCTCGAGGAATTCCTGGGTACCTAAGATGACTTTAAAGAGCAAAGAACTTCAGAGAAATACAGGAATACACAAGCATATTTTCAAAACAAATTTCCCTAGCACGGCTAGCCTGAATTCTGGTTTGAGACCCGTTCCAGTAGTAGACACGGGATGTTTATTTAGACAAACAATGGTAATTTGGTGGTAATTTAAAATTCCAATCGGCACACAAAAGTGCTTCCTAATCCTGTCTCGCCCTAATTAAAACCCTTCTCTGGCATTGGGAGGAAACCCGGTGAGCTGAGAACGGAAAGCATCAACACATTCGGTATTTCATTACACGCGTACACATTCGCTAATACATAGGAAATACCAGGATAAAATTCATATCCATGTGGGATGAACAGGCGAATTTGTGTACACAACAGTAAATTCCAGTCAGCTCCCCAAACAGGGCACACCATCTATGAAGAGCTCTTGCACAGGGAAGGGTCACTGTCTAATTTTTGGAAGCCTGTGGCATGCCCCGTGGGGGAGGACTTTTCCCTATGTTGAGCTTCGGCGCCAAGGCCCTTGCGAAATGGAGTAAAGGACTGCTCACGCAAATCTGGGATTCCCTTCAAAAGGATGGCATTGAGATTGGCACTTGGTTCAACTTAAACCCAGCCGCTTCTTCTTCCTTTGAGCTTTGAGCTTACCATTAGACGAGTCTACGTTTTGTTAGAGCGGACTAAGTTTTGTAAAAGGAGTCCTTCAAACGCCCTAC